AAAGTTTGATGCAAAACTGAAGCAGTATTACTAGTTTGCACTGAACTCACTGAATTTCAGAAGGCTTAATTTGCACTGAAATTAAGCCCTCTGCCTCAATTTTAGGCTGATTGTGTCTAGCAGTGCAAGAATGGCCAAAGTCCATAATGGAGCAGTACATCCAATTTGTGCCTGCATATCCACTCAGCTCATACTCGCAGCAGCTTACAGCAAAAAGCGCAGGTTTGCTCAGGCTCACAAGACGCACCTCAGAATGAGGTAAAGTTTCATCCAGTGAAAACTCTAACAGTCAAAAAAATATTAATTTTTAGGGAATCAGGCGATACTTAAGTGACAAGTTGAGAGACACAAAACACTGTTAGGGAACAACAGACCATATAACAAGCATCCTATTCAAGTATTCGGTTGACGGGAAAATTTTGAAATATACAGTTAAAAGTAAACTGTGAATAACAAATGGCCCGGGAAATCCAGCGCACCGTTAATTGCACCTATTTGATGTGTATCTCTGTAGATGTGCGTACATCAGCAACTCAATTTCTAGTGGCAGTTGTTAATTGATGAGGTCTAACTGTGCCTCCAGAACGTACATATAACTTAGTGAAAGAAAACATTCTGCTTTTTTAGACATACTGGTATTCTTAACTGTTCAAAATCTTATTTGTTTTTTGAGATTTTGTCGCACAACCTGTGCTTGTGGTCTGCTTCACGTTGACGACAGCCAGCATTTAGAGACTGAGACATGTGAAGGGGAAAGCCATTCCCTGGTAGAAATTAATAATGACATGTGCAACATGTAAAAAAAATTCAAAAAATAATCTGATTTAAAAATGAGAATTTTTCAGTAAATAGAATAGCCACAATAATGAGCCTGGATCTGATTTGTAATTCAGGGTGGGTGGCAATGTGTTAATTTAAAATCATGGCCGCTGGACAGATGGCAGATCAAATGTACCTTGACCACAGTTCGAACAGTTTCCGGATGTCGTTTATGCTGCGTCTACAATTTCCGTTGTTTTCGAACCTCGTT